ATCAGGAATTACCAGTAACTCATTTTTTAACTGGGAATAATAATACCCGTTGTGAGGCCTCGGAGGAAATTACATCGGCTACGTTGTCGGCTTAAACCGGCCAAGAATTCTCTTCTACTAGCCTTCAGCTGAGCGGAGAAAGACGCTTCTTAGGACACGTCTGATTGGACGCAGACGGATGTTGGAGAATTTTAAGCACGAGAAGCATGAGCTTCATTAGAAACTGAATTATGGATCCAAACTGACTACACCGGCATCTCTAAGTGGGAGGAAGAAGGGAATTATGGATCCAAACTGACTACACCGGCATCTCTAAGTGGGAGGAAGAAGGGAATTATGGAACTAAACTGACTACATCGGCATCTCCAAGTGGGAGGAAGAAGGGAATTATGGGACCAACCTGACTACACCGGCATCTCTAAGTGGGAGGAAGAAGGGAATTATGGAACTAAACTGACTACATCGGCATCTCCAAGTGGGAGGAAGAAGGGAATTATGGGACCAACCTGACTACGCCGGCATCTCTAAGTGGGAGGAAGAAGGGAATTATGGAACTAAACTGACTACACCGGCATCTCTAAGTGGGAGGAAGAAGGGAATTATGGGACCAACCTGACTACACCGGCATCTCTAAGTGGGGGGAAAAAGGGAATTATGGGACCAAACTGACTACGCCAGCATCTCTAAGTGGGGAGAAGAAGGGAATTATGGGGCCAAACTGACTACACCAGCATCTCTAAGTGGGGGGAAAAAGGGAATTATGGGACCAAGCTGACTACACCGGCATCTCTAAGTGGGAGGAAGAAGGGAATTATGGGACCAAACTGACTACACCGGCATCTCTAAGTGGGAGACAGAAGGGAATTATGGGACAAAACTGACTACACCAGCATCTCCAAGTGGGAGGAAGAAGGAATTATGGGACCAAACTGACTACGCCAGCATCTCTAAGTGGGGAGAAGAAGGGAATTATGGGACCAAACTGACTACACCAGCATCTCCAAGTGGGGGAAGAAGGGAATTATGGGACCAACCTGACTACACCAGCATTTCCAAGTGGGGGAAGAAGGGAATTATGGGACCAACCTGACTACCCCAGCATCTCCAAGTGTAAGTAAGAAGGGAATCAGGGGACCAATCTGACAATACCGGCATCTCCATGTGGAGGGAAGAAGGGAATCATGGGACCAACCTGACTACACCGGCATCTCCAAGTGGAAGGAAGAAGGGAATCATGGGACCAACCTGACTACACCAGCAACTCCATGTGGAGGGAAGAAGGGAATCATGGAACCTACCTGACTACACCAGCATCTCCAAGTGGAGGGAAGAAGGGAATCATGGGACCAACCTGACTACACCGGCATCTCTAAGTGGGAGGAAGAAGGGAAATTATGGGACCAACCTGACTACACCGGCATCTCCAAGTGGGAGGAAGAAGGGAATTATGGGTCCAACCTGACTACACCAGCATCTCCAAGTGGAGGGAAGAAGGGAATCATGGGACCAACCTGACTACACCAGCATCTCCAAGTGGAGGGAAGAAGGGAATCATGGAACCTACCTGACTACCCCAGCATCTCCAAGTGGGGGAAGAAGGGAATTATGGGATTAACCTGGCTACACCGGCATCTCCAAGTGGGAGGAAAAAGGGAATTATGGGATCAAACTGACTACACCGCCATCTCTAAGTGGGGGGGGGGGGGAGGGAATTATCGGTAAAAAAAAACACAGATGGGGGGGGGGGGGGTGATTTTTGTGTTGCCTAGGGCAGCACGAAATCTAAATGCACCACTGGAGCACGTACTACTTTTTTGGGTTTCTGTGCATTTGGCGGCCCATGAAATGAATGGGCTGTCAAGAACACACCATGCGGGAACATGCAACAACGCACGCATCCTGGTGTGAATCGGTCCTTACAAATATATACTGTTTATGTTTTCCAAAGATACAAAACCAACAGACATCCCCTTTAAATAACCTGCTCCGGCACCCCTTTTTGAACCCGCGTTTAGCAACATTCTGTCCTATTCTACTATATTATTGGCTTTTTCACCTCGTCTTGTGGATTTAAAACAGGACAGGAAAACAAACAAACAAACAAAACACTTTTAGTGGGTGACAAAAGAGACGCGTGGAGAAAGATGGGCGACTCCGGTCGCCGCTATCCCTCGCCGTACACTGGAAGATGATAAGTCGGTGGTGACATTTTCAGGTAATTGATTCTTTCACATTTCTAATGGCGCAAATGTCTGATGTGGCCACTTCTGCCAGACACAGCGCGGTGACCGGGTCAGCGGCTGTCTGGGTGATCAGACGCCATCCGCCATCTTTGCTGGTGACAGGAGGGAAACATTTACCTCTGCTGGGATCGGGAATAAAATCTCAGCTCTGTGCAAACTGTATTTAAATGAGCCGAGCGGGAGAACAGGAATACAGTTCTAGGAAAATGACGGAAAGGTGACAACAAAGAAGTGACCCCATCCCTCTCGCAGTAATCTGCACATTTGTCAGGGTAGGTCTCCTGATGGTGGCCACAGTGATTGATGCCTGCATAATGGGTGTTGGCACCTGTAGTCTCTTTCTGAAGCCCCTGTTACAGGGTGACAACGCAGAACAATAATTGGGAGACAGGGACAGAGCGTTGTCACCTTATAATAGGAAATGCACAGACAAGGACCTTCATGGCAGGATCACCAGGAGGTGTCATTTTATGGAAAGCTGCTGATTTAAGGATGCTGGGAGGACACAGCGCCAAACCCGCCGCATCACATGGTTGACCGTTTTGTTAGAACTTTATTGAAACGTGATACGTATTTCATTAGGTTCTGTTCACCACAATGGTGTTTGAACGCAGAGAATCGCATCGCATCCGGCCGCGCTGTAAAAAGTACTTCATTCCAGGCCCATTCACACCAGTGGCTGCGTTCTACCGTTCTGTAGGATGACATGGGTGTCCATGTGCCAATCATGGCGCATCACACTGTTTACTTTTCTTTTTTTTTTTTTAATGGACTTTATTGAAATGTCAAAGAGTGACATTTCATTAAGTTCTATTGGCTTCAGCATGGTGCAAGGAGGTGGACTGTGTCGCACTGCGCTGAGAAAACCCCCCCCCCCTGCATGTCGTACTCCTTCAGTGTACACCACCGCATTTCAGATTCATTTGTTAAGTTTCTTGGCGCCGGCCGCACATTTGTGTGCAATTAAGAAAAACATGTTTGCTGACAGCACTCGCCCTGTGCGCTCCCAGGCCAAGCACACATGTCCGGCACTCACAGAAAGGTCCCGATCTCCTCTTGCGATTGGGACCTTTCCCAATCATGTGACCGCCGTGACAGCGAATCACGGTGGTCACATGCCCCTAAAACTCCGCCCCGCCTCCCAGCGTCACTTCCTGTCCCATAGCCACAAGTGAGGAAGTGAGAGGAAATCTCTCCAAAGTGATGGAAATCCTGGTTGTCACCAGAACTATTGTCCCCAATGGAAGATTCCCCTTCTATTCCTGTTCTGGTGACAACCAAAAATTTGGGATTTTCTTTAACTTTCAGAGAGGGTGAATCTAGCTAACAGGGATAGAGACAGCAATACAAACCTTCCTGGGGGGTCTCATCCCTCTCCATTCTACCCAAAACTAAAAACAAGATTGTATGGTAATGATGCAGAAAATGGAATGGAGCAGGGGCGGACTGACCATTTGGAAACTCGGGCACTGCCTGAGGGCACGGGGTCAGTAGGGGGCCCCATGAGATGCCCCTGGTACCTTTTTCATAGGCTTTTTTGAGTTTGGGCAAAGACACAGGGGCCCCATGATCCCCTATTGCCCGGGGGCCCCATGAGTTGTCAGTCCGCCCCTGGAATGGACACATATAAGATTTCAGTGATCTGGGTCCTCCTTTAGTAATGGTGTGGATTCCTCTGTAAGCCATGAACCCGAGAAGCCTGCAGGATCCAGTAGCAGCTCAGGATGAGATGAGGGGCCCCGGAATGAGGACCTGTGGCTCTGGCTGCACCTCTGACAGGTCTGCGGTGGTAGGAAAGGCGAGATAGATGGGAAATGAGCTCTGTAATGGGCCCATTCCGCGGTCTAATCTGACATCATTTTCTATTTCCCAGACTCCTCTTTCCTAATAATGGCGGTGGGGGGGGGGCGGCAGATGGAAGGAACTCTGTGTCACTGAAGATTTGGTGTGATTGTCTTGCTGGAGACAATGGATGCCGCCCGCCCCGCCGCCTCGCATGCGCCGTTTATCATGGAAACGGCAATAAGACGGCGGATATGGAGCGATATTACATTGCTGCCTCTTCCAGTGTGAACCATCGTCACATAATACCGCAGGGGGGCGACTTCTCCGGATTCCTCACACATCCTCCTCTTCCTAATTCAGGATGGGCGAGACCAAAAAGGACGACTGAAATTTTACAACAACGGCGGCAGCCTGGAGCGCACGCCGCGGTTCACTGACTATCAAGGCCGAGGTCCTGGATTCATCTCCCCTCTGTTGAGCGACTTTCCTCCAGCAGCCCAAAAACTAAAATTTACTAAAACAGGAGAGTGCAAAATCTGGGGCGGCTGTGCATGAGAGCCAATCAGATTCTAACTTCAGCTTGTTCAGTTAAGCTCTGAGAATAAAACCCGGAAGCTGATTGGTTTCTATGCAGAGCTGCACCAGATTTTGAACCCCTCCAATCATCCCATATATGAGCAGAGAGGAGGACAGGCCTTGATGCCCACATGCCACAGATGTGAGATGTGCTGAAGTTTCTGTGCCGAGCATGCGCTCCCAGCACAGTGACTGAGCTATCATTGTCAGCTCCTTCTCTCTAGGGAGGGATAGGCCCCTGATCCTGTGATCGCAGTGGTCACATGCTATGGAAGTCCATCCTGCACCCACCCACCTTAAGAGACATTTAAAGGAAAAAAAAAAAAAATCGCTGATCGGGGTACAGGAGGTAAAAAGGTGACAGAAGATGAAGAAGCGTGTCTGTTTCATGTTATACAAAATGCCTTGATGGGTAGTCGCTGTTCTGGAGGAGTGGGTGTTCCTATGCAGGCTGTATTCCTACACGGACCACCCTACGCCCACATGTGATGCTGACCCTCCACGACTGAAAGAAACAAAACCAATGAATGAAAGGGGCGGGCCAGGGACAGTCTGGTTGGGGAGGAAATGGTTAAATGAAGTCCTCCAGCTGGGCTCTGATTTGCTGCAGCTTCTAGAGCTCATTGTGAGAGGAGCCGGAACACCTGTGCAAGACTGAAGGGGAGGAGCCAGATCATCTGTGAAGGTCTGAAGGGGAGGAGCCAGATCACCTGTGCAAGACTGAAGGGGAGGAGCTGGAACACCTGTGCAAGACTGAAGGGGAGGAGCCGGATCATCTGCGCAAGACTGAAGGGGAGGAGCCGGAACACCTGTGCAAGACTGAAGGGGAGGAGCCGGATCATCTGTGCAAGACTGAAGGGGAGGAGCCGGATCATCTGTGCAAGACTGAAGGGGAGGAGCCGGATCACCTGTGCAAGACTGAAGGGGAGGAGCTGAAACACCTGTGCAAGACTGAAGGGGAGGAGCTGGAACACCTGTGCAAGACTGAAGGGGAGGAGCTGGAACACCTGTGCAAGACTGAAGGGGAGGAGCCGGTACACCTGTGCAAGACTGAAGGGGAGGAGCCGGTACAACTGTGCAAGACTGAAGGGGAGGAGCAGTTACACCTGTACAAGACTGAAGGGGAGGAGCCGATACACCTGTGCAAGACTGAAGGGGAGGAGCTGGTACACCTGTGCAAGACTGGAGGGGAGCAGCCGCTACACCTGTGCATGACTGAAGGGGAGGAGCCGGTACACCTGTGCAAGACTGAAATGGAGGATCCGGCACATCTGTGCAACACTGAAGGGGAGGAGCCAGAACAACTGTGCAAGACTGAAGGGGAGGAGCAGGTACACCTGCGCAAGACTGAAGGGGAGGAGCCAGTACACCTGTGCAAGACTGAAGGGGAGGAGCCGGTACTCCTGTGCAAGACTGAAGGGGAGGAGCCGGTACACCTGTGCAAGACTGAGGGGGAGGAGCCGATACACCTGTGCAAGACTGAAGGGGAGGAGCTGGTACACCTGTGCAAGACTGGAGGGGAGCAGCCGCCACACCTGTGCATGACTGAAGGGGAGGAGCCGGTACACCTGTGCAAGACTGAAATGGAGGATCCGGCACATCTGTGCAACACTGAAGGGGAGGAGCCAGAACAACTGTGCAAGACTGAAGGGGAGGAGCAGGTACACCTGCGCAAGACTGAAGGGGAGGAGCCAGTACACCTGTGCAAGACTGAAGGGGAGGAGCCGGTACTCCTGTGCAAGACTGAAGGGGAGGAGCCGGTACACCTGTGCAAGACTGAGGGGGAGGAGCTGGTACACCTGTGCAAGACTGAAGGGGAGGAGCCAGTACACCTGTGCAAGACAGAAGGGGAGGAGCCAGTACACCTGTGCAAGACTGAGGGGGAAGAGCTGGTACACCTGTTCAAGACTGAAGGGGAGGTCGGGGGTTGGATTAAATGATAGGCCCACTTTAACCACTTGCCAAATGATGGCTACAGTGCAGGCATCACGTCATAGGAGGGCGTCTATTGACGTCCTCACAGAACAGTGTCCCCTGTGGCACGCATCCAGCGCTCTCTGTGATCCCTGTGTCATTCAGAAAAGGGCCAATCACAGCTGATCATGATGTAAACACACTTGCTGGTTAAAAGCAGTACATTCCTCACACTGTCATAGCGAGAGGAAAGTACTGCTGATAACCAGCAAATGTGAAAGGAGGCATCTACATTGATAATAATCAGTGCCCATCAGTGCTGCCAGTCAGTGCCCATCAGTTCTAACAATCAGTCCTGCCTATCAGTGCCCTTCAGTGCTGCCAATCAGTCCCGCCTATCAGTGCCCTTCAGTGCAGTCAGTCAGCGCCCATCAGTGCTGCCAATCAGTCCCGCCTATCAGTGCCCTTCAGTGCAGTCAGTCAGCGCCCATCAGTGCTGCCAATCAGTCCCGCCTATCAGTGCCCTTCAGTGCAGTCAGTCAGCGCCCATCAGTGCTGCCAATCAGTCCCGCCTATCAGTGCCCTTCAGTGCCGCCCGCCAGTGCCACAATCAGTGCAGCCTCATCAGTGCCCATAAATGCAGCCTATCAGTGCAGCCTCATCAGTGCCCATAAATGCAGCCTATCAGTGCAGCTTCATCAGTGCCCATAAATGCAGCCTATCAGTGCAGCTTCATCAGTGCCCATAAATGCAGCCTATCAGTGCAGCTTCATCAGCGCACATCAGTGACGGAGAAAAATTACATGTTTGCAAAATGTTATAATAGAAAATAGAAACGTTTTTTTTTTTTTAATTTTTGGTATTTGTAGTTTGTTTAGCAAAAAATAAAACCGCCAGTGGTGATTAAATACTAACAAAAGAAAGCTCTATTTGTGTGAAAAAAAATATAAAAATGTCATATTGGTACAGTGTTGCATGACCGCGCAATTGTCATTCAAATTGCGACAGCGCTGAAAGCAGAAAATCGGCCTGGGCAGGGAGGGGGTACAAGTGCCCGGGAGGCGAGGGGTTAATAAGGCAGCACGTCATTTACAACATCAGCAATCCACAAGTCATCAGTGCTTATCTGTCACCAAGCTGCGATCTGATTGGCTGTCCGGCGTCTACCTCGCGCTTGGTAAATGAGGAACGCCCAGCACTTCTAATGAAGTTTTCAGGCCGGTGCAGGCGGAGGAAGATGCTGTAATGAAGCTTTTATTTAATCACAGTATCAGCCGGCTTGCGCACGCCGCGCGTGTATTTTGCTTTCATTTCACGAGTCACAAAACAGTAGTTACCGGCTGTCATCATGTCAGATGTGCGCACGCTTCATTTTCTGTGGAGGAACACAGCCGCAACGAGAAAAAGAAAAACAACAAAAAAAAAATATTGTTCTCCTCCGGTGTTTACACGCTGATTGAGAATAATGACCGGGAAGAAGTTCTGTCGGCGCCCGCCCTATGAAGAGCCACCCGAGGGGCAGACCGCACACTGGAGGGTCTGAGGAATCGCGGCCCGTGTGATGACGTCAGTCACTTGTGTTCCCCCGGTCGCCATTGCTGGAACTCCAAGATGTCTGCACTCCAGGCCAATATTAACAACAACGTTTAATGCCGTTATGGATTTATTAAAAAATCACTAAAGCAGAATATGTTTTTTCTCCCATGCAGTGGGGCTGTGCCTGGACCGCATGGGTTAACTGCTCGTTTTGTCCAGGGGTGCACAGAAAGGGTATACTTACCTGATCCTTCGCTCCTCTGGAAAAACTGCACTACCCCAAGTCCAGCAGTGGGCTGTTCCTGCCGTCCTCATGTCTACAGCCGGTCTATGGGCGTGATGATGTCAGGACATCCGGAGCTGGTCTATAGGCGTGATGACATCAGGACGTCCAGAGCCGGTCTATGGGCGTGATGACATCAGGACGTCCAAAGCCGATCTATGGGAGTGATGACGTCAGGATGTCCAGAGCCAATCTATGGGCATGAAGACGTCAGGATGTCCAGAGCCAATCTATGGGCATGAGGACATCAGGACTTCCAGAGCCAATCTATGGCATGAGGATGTCAGGACGTTCAGAGCCAATCTAGTTCGTGATGACGTCAGGACATCCAGAGCCAGTCTATGGGCATGATGACGTCAGGACGTCCAGAGCCAGTCTATGGGCATGATGACATCAGGACGTCCAGAGCCAGTCTATGGGCGTGATGACGTCAGGACATCCAGAGCTGGTCTATGGGCAAGAGGATGTCAGGATGTCCAGAGCCAGTCTATGGGTGTGATGACGTCAGGACATCCAGAGTCGGTCTATGGGCGTGATGCCGTCAGGACATTCAGAGCCGGTCTATGGGCATGATGCCGTCAGGACGTCCAGAGCCAATCTATGGGTGTGAAGACGTCAGGACTTCCAGAGCCAATCTATGGGTGTGAAGACGTCAGGACTTCCAGAGCCAATCTATGGGCATGAGGATGTCAGGACATTCAGAGCCAATCTAGGTAGTGATGACATCAGGACATCCAGAGCCAGTCTATGGGCGTGATGACGTCAGGACATCCAGAGCTGGTCTATGGGCATGATGACCTCAGGACGTCCAGAGCCAGTCTATGGGCGTGATGACGTCAGAACATCCAGAGCCGGTCTATGGGCGTGATGATGTCAGAACATCCAGAGCCGGTCTATGGGCGTGATGATGTCAGGACATCCAGAGCCGGTCTATGGGCGTGATAACGTCAGTACATCCAGAGCTGGTCTATAGGCACGATGATGTCAGGAACCGTTCATGCACAAGACTGCTAGCGTGCAGGGGGACAGGGATGGCGGGGACCAGCCCTGCACTTGGAGGATCTGCGGATTAGGTAAGTATATCTCTGCCCTGAAATCCCCTAGAAAAAAACAAGTAGGAAATCCATGCAGTGCGTTCCCCCACTGCATGGGAACATTTTTTTCTTTAAACTAGTAGAAGAACCATAAAAAAAAAGAAGTCTGGTTATTGTAAAAAAAAAAAAAAACAAAAACTAATGGTCATCACTCAGCTACAAACACTGTATACACTGTAGCTGCTGACTTTTATGAAACAGACACCAGCCCAGGAGTCCAGTGCTGTCCTCACCAGGGCCAGTTCTTCGCCGGTCTTTGGATCCCTGCAGTCGCCATCTTTGCTGTGGGAAGCCAGCTGTGACTTCCTGGTGTTTCACACTTAGCTTCCCACTGTGCATGTGCGAGAAGCATTGCGCTTTCAGGCTGATCCTGCAGATCCTGGGACAAGTGACGGGCCCCAAGAGGTTCCGGGTAAGGAATGAATGTCTGAAATTGTCACCTAGGAGCAAAATGCAGAAGTAGGAATGGGTACCTGTCATAAAAATTCCGATATTCCTTCACAAGGTATGGAACCCTGGTGCCCACCCTGTGGTCCTTTGGTATATGATGTGTGGCCCTCAGAGTCTGAAGTGGGGACATTGATTAGGGTAAAAGCATTGATCTCTACCAGCCTCATGTAACATCTCCCCAGCCTCGTATCGTCTTCTGCAGCATATCTCCAGCCAGCAATGTCTCCTGTCCTCACTCTCTGACCCTCATTTCCTCTATTGGCTCTGCAGTCTCTGACACTCCTCTAAATCATTAGTGGTTAGCACTTCCACCTGGCAGTACCAGGGTCATTGGTTCGAATCCCAGCCACGGCACTTCCTGCCTGGAGTTTGCATGTTCTCCCTGTGTCTGCGTGGGTTTCCTCCGGGTACTCCTGTTTCCTCCCACACTCCAAAGACATGCTGGTAGGTGAATTGGCTCCTGTCTAAATTGGCTCTAGTCAGGGGCGGACTGACAACTCATGGGGCCCCCGGGCAATAGGGGATTGTGGGGTCCCTGTGTCCTTGCTGAAACTCAAAAAAGCCTATGAAAAAGGTACCAGGGGCATCTCATGGGGCCCCCTACTGACCCCGGGCCCTCGGGCAGTGCCCGAGTTTCCAAATGGTCAGTCTGCCCCTGGCCCTAGTATGTGTATGTATGAATGTGAGTTAGGGACCTTAGATTGTACGCTCCTTGAGGGTTAGGGACCTTAGATTGTACGCCCCTTGAGGGTTAGGGACCTTAGATTGTACGCCCCTTGAGGGTTAGGGACCTTAGATTGTACACCCCTTGAGGGTTAGGGACCTTAGATTGTACGCCCCTTGAGGGTTAGGGACCTTAGATTGTACGCCCCTTGAGGGTTAGGGACCTTAGATTGTACGCCCCTTGAGGGTTAGGGACCTTAGATTGTACGCCCCTTGAGGGTTAGGGACCTTAGATTGTACGCCCCTTGAGGGTTAGGGACCTTAGATTGTATGCCCCTTGAGGGTTAGGGACCTTAGATTGTACGCCCCTTGAGGGTTAGGGACCTTAGATTGTACACCCCTTGAGGGTTAGGGACCTTAGATTGTACGCCCCTTGAGGGTTAGGGACCTTAGATTGTACGCCCCTTGAGGGTTAGGGACCTTAGATTGTACGCCCCTTGAGGGTTAGGAACCTTAGATTGTACACCCCTTGAGGGTTAGGGACCTTAGATTGTACACCCCTTGAGGGTTAGGGACCTTAGATTGTACGCCCCTTGAGGGTTAGGGACTGATGTGAATGTACAATATATATGTAAAGTGCTGCGTAAATTGACGGCGCTATATAAGTACCTGAAATAAATAAATAAATTGTGTGCGTCCATTGGTTGATGTCAGAGGCCGCATCTGAGGCCCCCTTTAGGTCATACATTGACAACCACTGGTGAGGCTAGATAGTCCGGGGGGGGGGGGGTATGGACCCCAGTAGGAATTGCTCTGTACTGCACTGTGATGGATGGGCGGTCATAGATTAATGGGCCTATTTATAGTGATCAGCAATTATTCTTCAGCTTCCCATCATAAAGAATGATGCCGGATTTGGGGCGGTGAAAACAATCAGATAAAAATCTTAATTT